AAGTAAATTAAAAATGCTATGAACTCTTCCAATTTGGAATGTACTGTATTGAGAAAACAGTCTTCAAACTAGCAGTCCTCAACTGTGGCGGGTCCTAGAGAATCTTTCTGGAGATCCTGTGAGGACAAAACTACTTTTATAATACTTTAAAGATGTTGTTCACCCTTCTCATTATATTGACTTTGAATGGATAACACAAAATAAATAGCAATGCAGTTACTTCCAGGGACCCAGACTGTAGGCAGAGGCGATGCTCAGAGAAACATACAAAGAAATGTTTTAAAAGTTTGGAATGCATGTTACTCCACTGAAAGAATACTTACTATTTTATCATTAGTTTTCATAGGTCAGAATTGGGTTTCTGTTTTAAAGAATGTACTTTAGATACTGCTCATCTGTCTTTATCCTATCAGCACCAATGAGTCTCCTTTGACTTTTGTAATATCACTAATGCTATGACTGGAAGTGATATGTTGGAAGTAAATTAAAGTGTGCCAGCTTTATCCTACGTCTTATTTAGTGGAAAACATGTTTTCCTTATTATTCAAGACTGCATAAAGTTTGTAAAGCATGACTACATTTTCCATTTACTATTTCTTACTGTCATTTAAAATAGTTTAACCATGACAATAAGGAAAAATCTAAGTTGATCATAAGCTTATATAACAAGGAATATGTAAAATAAAATATTTAAATATTTTTTTTCCATTTAAACACTTATCCTAATGTGCCAGTTAGCTCCTCTTGTCTCACGGATTAGGCAATTTAGTTACTTCTATAAATGCTGATTATTCCAGATAATAGTCATCAAAATTATTTAGAGGAAATTAATGAGAGTTTCTTGGTGGAGACTGATCTGGAAAGATAGGACTATAGGTCCAGTTAGGAAACGATCAAAATTATAGTAGACAAATGCTGGAAGTTTGGAGCTCAGAAACCTAAATATAATGCAGCAAATAATGAGTGTCCATTTCTGTTTCAGAAACATTTTTAGAAACATAGTTTTGGAATCTCTTCTGGTTCTTTGAAACTTTCATAGGAATGTGTCCAACAAACATGTTTATGGGTTATATAGAAGTTCATATACAAGTCCATATGCATTTTTTCTTTAAATGGAAGGGCATATATTTCAGTATAAGCTTTTTCTACTTGAGTCTTATTCAATAGAAGAAAGATTTAGTTTGTCCTATCTTATTTTCTATCCGAGGAAAGAAACCTATATAACAGCTTTTAGGTACCTCTGAAGGAGATACTCTCTGAAGGAGAAGGAGAAGTTGCAGGGTAAGTAACTTCACCTGCATGCTTTTGTCATTTTGGAAACTGTAATCTGGAAAATATTTGTATTATAGAGGAAAATATTTTTTCCTGTTAACATACATTACTCATCTTTCATCATAGTGCCTTTTAGAGATTTAGAGGTTCACTTTTAAATTAAAACAATGAATATTACAATATCCTTTCCTCTGTAGGAACTTAAGGATTAGTCCTTTGATTTATAAGCCAATCATACAAATATCATTTTATTTCCCCTTAATTTGTATTCATTTCTGTATTACTTTTTGTAGCCTGCTTACTTGTAGAAACAACTTTTTGAAGACTCTTCTACTTACTCTTCATGTCAATTTCATTTTGAAATAACATTGTTTCCCTAATTTTGGATATCTAATTTTTGTTTGATAATAGCATGAACATTAGTCGTAATCAATTAATCAACAGTACTTACTGGTTTTTAAATATTCCATTAGTCGCTCAAGTTAGTTCCTAACTTGTTTTTCCTTCAGTTTTTCATTTTCCTTCATTTCCTTCATCCTTGGTTGCAGGTCACAGGCCTCTTAATAAAATTACCATTTCCTGCGTTTCATGAAAATTTCACATCTTTGTGGGACCAGATTTCTGGTCTCACTGTCAGATAGTGCTGGCCACACCACAGGCCGTCTACACAAAGGATTGTCTTAATAACTGGGCTGAACTGCTAGAGTGTGCAGAGCCACGAGGAAGGGTTTCCAAATCATGTTTTAATGAGTAACATTGAGTAGTTTGGTACTGAATTCTCTTGTTCTTAATGTTTACATTCTTTTAGCCAGCTTTGTAATTTTAATCCCATTTTACCTTTGCATTTCTATAACTAATGTTTCTGCAATTTCCTTTTCTTTGGATTAAAATAGTAAGAGACATAATCGGATTTTTATACCCATATTCAACTTTGGTTGGAGATGAATTCTGGTGGCTCATGATTGAAACTTGGGGTAAAATGGCAATTTGACTTCTTTCATTGAGTTTCATGATTCTGGAACTCATTCCAATATCCGAAGGCAAAGAGGCACATAGCCCAGTGCTCTTAAAAAGCTTCTGGAAGCAGACATCTGTTGTATGTTAATTGACTAATATAAAATAGGAAAGGAGGGATTGTTTGTTCCCTGGGTACGTTATTAGAGTTCTCACTATTCAGATTCTCAAAGAGAAAAGTGGGGAATACATATATCATGTGATGATCAAATACAAGTGCTGTTGTCATGAAAATTAATATATTATTTGACAATGTTTTGTCTTCCTTTGATGTTAGACAAGATATTGTTATCCATGCACAAACATTTTAGCACATTACTAAGGTTACTGCAACTTGAAATCAGCTTTAATAAAGATCCATATCAAAACCCTTGTGAAATACTAGTTACAAATTAAATACCCTTAACATTTTGTTACACGTTTTTATGAGACCATTCTTCTCTATGGAAAGAGATGCTTTAAAGTCGTCTTTAATTTGGATAAATTAACACCAATTAGGTGTCCTTTATCAAGATGCCACACCATGAACACTTGGAATAGTGCTGCCCCAGGTGATCCCACAGAATCCTGAAGTGTTCTCTCAGCTACAAACTTGCCATATGAGATCATTGCTTTGATTCTGCAGTTGCTATGGTACCCTGAACATATTCTCAGTATTAGTCCCTCAGGACATAAATTAAGAATCACCAGCATTGTAGGATGTCAAGTGCTTCGCTCCCACTGGTCATGAGGCTGGTTTAATTTATTGAAAAGAAAAGACAACTAGCTCTGAGCTGGAGCAAACTGTTTCTTGATATTTATATACAAAGGATTCTATTAATCATATAAGATTAAGGCATCAATGTCCATTTATCCACCCAACTCTTAGGGAATATTTCAAAAGTTCATTATATAAAGAGATAAAGCAATGAGATATTCTAGACTCAATTGATGCAATTATTTAAGATAATATGCCTAAGAATTTTGGAACCACTAGTTATATTCAATTGACTTCTTTTGCAGATACCCTAAAACTAATTTTTATTGGCCTTATATATACATATTATAGCAACTGAAATGCATGCCATATTTACTTTTAAGAGCTAATTGATATCTAATTCATATACCACAAAGTTTACCCATTTAAAGTGTTCCATTCAGTGGTTTTTAGTAAAATCAGACTTGTGCAACAATTACTATAATTTTAAAAGAGTTTCATCATCCCCAAAAGAAACTTCCTTCTCACCAGGAGTCATTCCCCATTCTCCCTTTACCCCCAGCCCCTGCCAAATACTAACCTACTGTCTGTCTCTATGGATTCACCTATTTTGGACATTTCATAGAAGTGGAATCATAGAACGTATGACCTTTTGTGACTGGCTTCTTCGACTTAGCATAATGTTTCCAATTTCATCCAAACTGGAGTATGGATTGATACTTCTTTCTTGTTATGGCCAAGTAATATTCCATTGTATGGATATAGCACATATTTTTTTCGTTCTTCAGTTGATGGGTATTCCGATTGTTTTCATTTTTTGGCTATTATGAATATGATGCTATGAACATTTTATGTACAAGATTTTTTGCAGATGTGTTTTTATTTCCCTTGGAGTTGCTGGATCCCATAATTCTTATGTTTCCATTTTTAAGGATAACCGAACTACTTCCAAAAGTGGTTGCAATACTTTAAGCAATGTTTGAGGGTTCCAATTTCTCCACGTTCTCACCAATACTCGTTGGAGTCCATCTTTTTTATTACGGCCATCCTGTGGAGGTGAAGTGGTATCTTATTGTGGCTTTGATTTGAATTTCCCTAATGGCTGATAATGCTGGTCATGTTTTCATGTAATTGGTCACTTGTATATCTTCTTGGGAAAATATATATGTTTAGATACCTTGCCTATTTTTAATTGGGTTATCTGACTTTGTTTTTATTGTAGTTTTGCATATTTGGGATACAAGTCCCTTCTAATTTGCAAATATTTTCTCTCATTATGTAGATTGTCTTTTCAACTTCCTCACGGTTTTATTTAAAGTATAAAACTTGGGGCACCTGGACGGCTCAGTTGGTTAAGCTTCCGACTCTTGGTTTGGGCTCAGGTCATGATCTCATGGTTCAGGTGTTCAAGCCCCACGTTGGGCTCTGTGTTGACAATGCAGAGTCTGCTTGGGATTCTCTCTCTCTCCCTCTCCCTTGTCTCTCTCAAAATAAATAAATAAACTTAAAAATAAAACATAAAATTTAAATTGGCTTCATCAAAATCATTTTTTAATTGTTTTGTTGTGTTTTGGTATTACATGTTAAAACCACTGCTTAATTCAATGCAATAAAGATTTACTCCCATTTACTCCCATATTTTGTTATAAGAATTTTATAGTTTTAGCTCTTACATTGAGGTCTATAATCTATTCTGAGTGAATTTTTATAAATGAGGTGAGGTGAAGTAGGGGTTCAACTTCCATGATTTGCTTGTGGCTATCGAGTTGTCCCAGAACTATTTGTGGAAAAGATTATTCTTTCTTACTGAAATAACTTGCCAATATCCAGGCAACCATAAATTTAAGAGTTTATTTCTGGTCTGTGGGCACAAATTTTATTCAATTGACCTACATATCTATACATCTATCCTGCCAGTTAAACATTGTGATTACTATAGCTTTTGAAACCAGTGTCAGTTCTCCCAATTTTTTATTCTTTTCTAATTTTATTGTTCACATTTTTTTTCTTTTTTTAGGTGAAGAATATTGAGCTTTATTACAGATTTATCCACATGTGCTTCCAAAGAGAAAGAAACACTGGCACTAAAGCACAGCCACTTGGAAAGTTATTATGGCTTTGGTTGCTAAGACAGAAATAGAGCCTTTGGAGAAATGATTGGTTCAAATCATTGGGAATGTAATTTTCATCATTGCATTCACTAAAAGGCTCACTTAGAGAAAATGGCCTCCCAGTTTCCAAAAATACAGTTTCCTTAAAATGGGAATATCTCAGATCTGATCTTTGTGGGTATTAAACCAATTTACTTATAAGCAAAAGTTATACCTTTTGCCCTAAACAAATTTAATTCACAGATTGAGTTATTTAGCTGAGATATACTCCTATTAGTTTCATTAATCTTATTGACAATTACACTGTCACCTTAGTTCATTAGAAAAGTTTATAGACCTCAAAGGTCTAGGGGTGCCTGGGTGGCTCAGTCGGTTGAGCATCCGACTTCAGCTCAGGTCATGATCTCATACTCCGTAAGTTCGAGCCCCACGTTGGGCTCTGTGCTGACAGCTCAGCAGCTGGAGCCTGCCTCAGATTCTCTGTCTCCCCCTCTCTCTGCCCCTCCCTGCTCATGCTCTGCCTCTCTCTGTCTCAAAGATAAATAAAAACATTTGAAAAAAATTTTAAAAAGGTCAGTAAATTATTTCAACAGTGCATTTATCCAGTACTAGCTTCACATTTCTCAAACATTTTTCACAACTGTCCAGGAGACAATGAAACTACTTACTTTAAATGGAAAATACTTGGTAAAAAATTTAACAGCCAGTTTCATAAAGCTTCCAAGTCCTATGAAATAAAATGACATATGTGTAAAAAGGTAAGTAAGTATGAGGAATAAACTTGGGAATTCCCTGAGCCCGCACTGATGGGTTAATGAGGCGTAAAGAAACTAGCCATAGGATGTACACACCCAAGTTTGGGTAAACAAAGTTAGGTAAATGGGGCAAAGGCCCCCAGTATAGGACAAAGGTATAAAAATAGGGAATCTCAGGATGAAAACATCCAAGATGAGGTAAACAAGATTAGGGTGGAAATGCCCCCAGCTTAGTACAATAGCAGAAAGCTGCTTTTACAGGAAGGAAGGACCAAATTAGGTAAACAGGTAAATAGGGCTATAGGCTGCTGTGGAGTGAAGTTGCCCACAGAAGAGCTAATTAGCAAAAGAAAGGTGCCTTGTTGACCCTGAGGTTGCATGCTCTTTCTCCTTCTCTGTTTACCTAAACTGGTCTAGAGGTGGGGACTCATGTTTGCTGTAAACAACCTTCCAACCCTAGCCAGGGTTTTGTTTTGTATTGACCCAAACCCCTAATACCACATATCTTCAGAACCCCCTTTCCCTTATGCACATGAGTTAATGTTCACGATTTCATTGTCTCTTTGTGCACATCCATCAGCACATTTGTAAGCCTTTTGATCCTAATACAAATGGAGCAAGGACCCTTACTCAGGGGTCTTGTCTCCTCTCAGACATTAGCCTCTCTCACAGTTTTAATCCTGCATCCTGCTTTCTTGCTGGACAAGAGAGAACTCCAGACCCAGAGTCTATGACAAGTAAGGAAACAAATAATTCTGGTATATAATATAACACTTATCATCATGGGTTATAAAACCACACACATTTTATATTCTATTAAAATAAGATCACATTAGATCATAAATAAACTTTTATTTAAATAAAATGAGATCACCATTTAATTTTTGAATACCTTAGTAATAATTACTTGAAGTCACTGAATTTAAGTCATCCAATAATTTCTATACAGGTAGGAATGAATTATTATATTTAAAGACTTGAAGTTAACTTTGACATTGCAAAATAGGCGGGATCATGTAACACGAGCTATATACTTAACAAACCTTTAAAAATACAACCACTTTCCTTTAGAGATCACCAAGAAGTTTTAGTAAACCATTGCTTTTTTTTTTTAAGGAGAAAAGCATATTGTGGTATAATCCTTAATAAAACAGTTCAGAATGCTTCAGTTCCGATTATAAATGTCTGTACAAGATTTAGTCTATTAATTATTTGAAGTTGGCAAGTTGTTGTACCCACTCATTCCTTACAGAGACTGCATTGCATGAGTTGGGTTTAGGGAATTTATGAATAGGATATTTATTTGAATTTGTGCCATCATTCCTTGTTACCTTAATCAAATTCCAGGCTGGAAAGATTATAAAGACACCCCACTGTGGATGCCCTGGAGCAGAGTTGGAGCAGATTGGCCAGGAGGACTTGCCAGAATACTCCATGCTCAACATGTCAGTTCAATTGCTGTGACAAGAACCAGTCCTATTCAGTTGCTAATGGAAAGGCATATCCAAACTGATTATCAACTGTTTTCAGTTAGATTTAGAAAAAGATTTATAATACAAGTAAAAATATGATTTACATGCTGTTGTCCACAACATCTAACAAGCTTTCCTTTTCTAGTCTTCTCCTTTCCTTTCTTTCCAATAGTAGAAATGAGTATTCTCTAGGAATTTCGCCTTTTGTTTTTTGGTTTGTTTTTGGTTTTCGGTTTTTTTTAGCTGAAGTCATTGTGTCCATATCAACAAGGCTTGGACTATAGTTTGGATCTTGTTATATTGCCAGTTTGATCAGATTCTAAAGATATGGTTTGCACACATTTTTTCTTGAATCATAAATTTTTGGGAATCTACCCAGATTTTAGCCAGATTGCCTGGAGCTTTAACAGAGTAGCAGTAGGAACAAAGCAATTATTCTCTACTCACAGAATATATTGAATTGGATTTATCTGGCATATGAAAGTTCTAGGATACTATTGATACAGACTTTTTAAATTACAGCCTACTTTCTTGGCAAAGAAATAACAAATTAGAAGGCATCTGTTGCTTTAACCCATCCATCATCCATTTATTCCTTATTTCTAACATGGAAACACTATTCCAAACACTAGAAATACATATATGAATAAAATAAATACTTTCTTGCTTAAAATTTGCATTCCAGTGGAGAGAAACTGACCTAATATATAAATCATATACCTGGCAGAAAAGAAAAAAAACAATGTTCTTGCTTTTGGGACAGGTTGCAGTATTAAATATGGCATCTGGTCCCAGATTTGAGTAAATACATGAAAAAAGTTAAAGAAAGTTAATTATTCAGATATCTGTTGAAGAAGGTTCTAGGCAGAAGGAACAATCAGGAAGCACAAAACTCTTGATGGGAATGATCAAACAGAGAAACAAAATGACATGTGAGTAAGCAGTGCATATTGAGGCAACTTTAGTAGGTGAAGAAAATGGGGTCTAGTGCACAACTCAGGGAAGTGCAAGTTAAAGTATATGTAAAGTATATATTTATATATAGTCTATAAATTGTGTGTGTGTGTATATATCATACCATATATATATGGACACACGCATACAATATATATGACTGCAACATTATCAAGAAGCCCATAATCTATGAGAGAAAGAGACAGAAAATGACCACCATAGTTTGATCAGTTCAAGGATAAAGGTAAACAACAGGTATAATGGAATATCTAAGGAAAGCCACAGCATTCAGGTAATTGTCCTGACTTCTACTTACAGTATATGCCAAGAACCAGAACGTTAGTATCACCTGGGAACTGGGCAAAATAACAAAACTCTTGAGCCTTACCTGAGAACAGCTGAATTATTATTTTCATTTTAACAGGATCCTAAGGTGATTCACAAAAAGAAGTCCAGGAAGCCAGTTTTAAAGAATTTTAGGAGCAGGTCGTCCATTCCAGAGAGAAGATAGAATGTGAGTAATGGCCTGGGAAAAGAAGAAGAAAACCAAATAAATAACATGACCAACATCACTACCGCCAAACTGTCTTGCTTGTATGCTTAGAACAACAGAAAGTTCAAGGTTGCTGGGGAAAAAAACAAAACCTGGGGTTACCCTGGGAGGAAGTAATGTGAGAGATGAAAATAGAGGGGGGTTTACAGGCTAATCTGGGCACTGAAATTCATTCTGCAGGTGCCGGAGGCTATTAAAGATTTGTCAGGTGGGGCAGCATGGTGAGCATTTTGGCCAAGTCTTCGAGGTGGCCAGATGAGAGATTGTTAAAGCCTGGATCTCATGTTGGGTACTTTCCATTGCACTTAAAACATCCTTAAAGTTATCTGAAAACTTTATTTATTTTTTTTTTTTTACTGTAAATTTTGTGAGAGCTTGGCACAGATTTAGAAAACATCAAAACCTCTAAACACCTCCACCAGTATTCTGAGGTCTGTGTGTGTGCATAATTTTACCTGAGAAATATCATTCACGACTCACAATATTTTAAGGGTTTTTTTTTCTCAAATAACAAAATAACATTATGAAAACCAAATAAACATTTTGAAGTCTGTAGAATGTTCTATCAGCATGACAGACTATAATTAAATGTAATACTTTTAGTAACCATTCAGGTCAATCTGACTTTTTCATGATTATAATAAAAAATATTTTTACTGAGAGCTTTTATGTTTTTCTGATATTTTATTCAGACATTCCACTACATGGTAAAAAACCACGAATGTTAAGACTTTTGGCATACATTTCCAAAACATATCACAAAACTTATTTATTTCATTTATTCTAATTTTGGTATAACTTTTACTTATTTTAGTATCAAACTCTACCCAGTATTTCATATCATCGAACCAAAATATTCCTTCAACAGCTAACAATACCAGTCTGTGATTAAGCTTCTCAAGCATTTATCATGTATCCTATATTAGTATTCACATATTGAAATCAGCAATGAAAGCATAGAAGCTAAAACTTTATACATTAAATAAAAAAAACTAAAAGATAACCTTTCTCATTCTTTTTTTTTTTTTTTAAATTTTTTTTTCAACGTTTATTTATTTTTGGGACAGAGAGAGACAGAGCATGAACGGGGAAGGGGCAGAGAGAGAGGGAGACACAGAATCAGAAAAAGGCTCCAGGCTCTGAGCCATCAGCCCAGAGCCCGACGCAGGGCTCGAACTCACGGACCGCGAGATCGTGACCTGGCTGAAGTCAGACGCTTAACTGACTGCGCCACCCAGGCGCCCCTAACATTTCTCATTCTTAAGTCATTTAGGAACTGTCCTTGGAACCGGCACCATCATGCAAAATAACTGCTGTTTTTACAAGTAGATATTTACGAAGGAGGATTAAAGTATGAAATAATCTGAGGTTCCAGAATATTATTAGTCAAACATTATTATTAGCCTATTACCTTATTGTTCTAATTTACATCTTGACCATATATATAGTCTGTATACATAGCCTATTAGAATTTTATAAAAACATTTAGATTATATACAGGATATAGCTGCGCTCAAATACTTTTGTGATCTTTACCCATTAAATTGACAACACTGTCTTTGATATTAATAACTAACTTTAGGTAAAATATAATGATTAGAATGCAACACACACCTAGTATATTAACAAAAACGTTGTATTAACAAATGCAGACAAAATTAGAACTGGAGAAATGTAACAGTTTTGTAAAATTTTTCTAATTCAACATTTATCTATATAAAGTGGAAATTTTAAAAAGTGAGGTCTGCAAAGATCTATGCAAGTTTGATAAGGAACTTCTATGGTAAACAAGTAAACTCAGATTTACATATATAAAGGTAATTCTATTAGGTGTCTATGAACTTAAGAATTGTGGCTGTAAAGGGGCGCCTGGGTGGCTCAGTCAAGTGTCCGACTTCAACTCAGGTCATGATCTCACAGTTTGTGAGTTCAAGCCCTGCGTCGGGCTCTGTGCTGACAGCTCAGAGCCTAGAGCCTGCTTCAGATTCTGTGTCTCCTTCTCTCTATGTCCCTCCCCAACTTGTGCTCTTTGTCTCTCAAAAAATAAATAAATGTAAAAAAAATAATAAAGAATTGTGGCTATAAATAAAATGGGTATTACTAAAAATGTGTGAATGTTTGAAATTTAGAAATAAAATTTGGGTGTTAATTTTGAGATCCTTTAACAAAATGTTCATTCTATGGGAATAAATAATTGATAAAAAGAACTTACAGAATGGTATTACTCCATGAGCATATGAAGAAAATAGCTATTTTATTCTCCCTAGAAAATGGTACCAACTTAACTATATACAATTCTTTCTAATGTTTAAAGTGATTTAATTTGAATAACACTGGCCTAGGGGATTAGGGTATTGGGACCAGATTTTTAGCAGTACTTTGATTTTGTACATCATCAGGAAGATTTGATTATCCTTACAGTTTTATTAAATACTAAAATTATTAACTCTGGGGCGCCTGGGTGGCGCAGTCGGTTAAGCATCCGACTTCAACCAGGTCACGATCTCACGGTCCGTGAGTTCGAGCCCCGCGTTGGGCTCTGGGCTGATGGCTCAGAGCCTGGAGCCTGTTTCTGATTCTGTGTCTCCCTCTCTCTCTGCCCCTCGCCCGTTCATGCTCTGTCTCTCTCTGTCCCCAAAATAAATAAATGTTGAAAAAAAAATTAAAAAAAAAAATAAAAAATAAAATTATTAACTTTATGTTACTAGACTGTTAGCAGAAATCTGCTTGGAGAGGTGGGAGTTTTGTCTTGAAGATGAATATGCATGGAAATTTCCATGAGATTTTGAAATATTCCATTGGATTGGAGGAATATGATTGCTTAAAATTATTGTGAGGAAAAGGATAGTAAAACTAAAAATATTTAATGATTAAATTGAAGAAACTCAATAATATTTGAAAAAGATATAGTTTTTCCTAAGAAGGGCAGTTCAAAGCCAAGAACTAACCTTGTTCCGAGTATGCCAGGATCCGTTGCTTAAACTTGCTTTTCCAGAAACCTGATATTGTCTATGAACCAAGAGTTGAAGGAGTATTTTGCACACAGGTTTGTTCTCCTCTAGCTCACAAGGCTTGAGCATTTCAACTTGTAAATATAAAGATAAAATATAATGTCAGTACGATTAGATCTTTTTGTGAACTTCTCTTGTTGAAAATGTCTGATTTCTGGTTCCACCGTCTCTGTTACACGCTGGTCATCACCTTAGATTAAGTCTTGCTCCCTCTAGTTTTGCCTTGATGAATATTCTGCCTTTAAAGCGACTTACACATTTTTACTTTGATGTGCTCATTTTACTGCATTAGCATTCCCAGTCATGATGATGTCACACTGTAGCTAAGCATTACTCATAATTGCAGTACTCAGAATTACTCTTGACTCTTTAATCCTAATTATCCTTCCAATAAAACGAGTTTAGATTAGTTAACATACAGAGTAGCACACAATGTGCTTTATGTGTATTATTTTATCTTCTCAACAAGCCTGTAAAATAAGTGCTAGCATTACAACCCTTTTATAGAGAAGGAACTTGAGACTCTCTATGAATAAGAAATTTATTCAATGACACAAATCAAAAGAACTGTAATATGGACTCTAATTGTTTGATTTCAAAGCTTAAAGTCACTTTTCAAAAATTATTTTAAAATAATTACCTTGTATCAGAGAAAAAGGAAAATACAGGCTAATTTCTAGGAGTAAAATGTTTAGCAAGATGTAAGTTATGTAAAATAATTCATTAATAATACAATTACTATATATCTACAATAAAATTGAGAAAATAGTTCAATTATCCCATTTAATACCGTAAATATAAAATTCTGAGAAATAAAATGGAGCACAAAACTTCTAATGAATAAATTATAATATTTAATTGAAAGAATTTAAGGATGACCTAAAATATACCTTGCTCATGGACATTAAAACATTAAATATTGAAATAATGTCAAATATACCTGATTATTCTATAGAATTAATATAATGCCAGGTTAAATAAGATTGTTCATGGGATTTACTATGTTATTTCCAAACTTATGAAGAATCAAAATACCCTTAATATTTCTGAAGAGGAAAAGCCAGGAGAAGGGAGCTTACCCTAGTATATATAAAGGTTTATAATAAAAGCTCTAGCAAGTCATAGGAAAAAGAAAAAAATAAGCACCAAAACCTGATCCAAAGGAAGATTTCATAAAAGAAACTTGATGCATATAATATAGAATTTTGATATCTGACAAATTTGATATGTCAGAGCAATAGGAAAAAGTTTATTCAATATATATACCTATTAAAATTTTCTGTATAGAAAAATTAGAATTAGATATCTACTATACATCATACATAAAAATTAACCCAGAATGATCAAGGACTTAAACAACAAATGCAAAATCTTAACAAATTTCAGTTCAAAATACAGATTGATATTTCTCTAAACTGAGTAGGGAAGTATTTTTAGCATTATTAAATGAATTCCAATGTAAGAAAATATTGAAAAATTGTATTAGTAAAATAACTTATTCAAAGATATTTTAAAATGGAAAAATACGTTATAAATTTGATATACACTGGGTGAAGTCAGTCAATATTAATCCTTTATCAGTTACAACAGTTCCAAGATTGTACCATACTAATGTACAGGTTAATAAAGGAAAATCTCCAAATAGAATGAGCATAAATTTGAATAAGCATAAATGAAGAAAAATTTTAAAGAGGTATCAAATATAGTTATTAATCAGGGATTGGCAAAGTTTTATCCCACAACTTGTAATTTCCCTTAGGAGGTAAATTACTAAACCATGTTGGGGAAATTTTGGTATTATCTTAAAAATTAAACATTGGAAAATTATAACTTGGTAATTCTCTACTAGTTATGTCTCAAAAGAAAACTTTGCTCATATGCATGGAGACATATACAAGAATATTCAGGGCAGCACCAGGCTACAAACTAACACTGATGGACAGGAGGGTGGTGTAATATCATGGCATATTTATGCAATGCTCTAATGCAGTGCAAAACAGATACAACCAACAGACTACAGTGTGACACCAATATAAATTAATTTTACCAGTTGAAATAAACAAGTACCAAAAGATTGGATAAAGCAAGATAACCAATTTTTTGTATATTTAAGTTAAAAACTGAAAGGAAATAGATCTTAAACAATATTTACATCTATCTATCTATATATATATATTCATATACTTAGTATATGTGTATGTAAATACACATATATGTTTATATATAAATATACACATGTAAATATATTTATACATATGTTAGAACTGTTATTTTCAAAATCACAGATGAAGTAAGTACATGTTCCAGTACAGTAACTCATTTAAGGAAGGAAAGGGTACAAAAGGAAAAAGAGTGCCTAAATAGAGAAGATTTTGTCTAATATTCGATACTCCATAGAGCTATCTTATTGTTGAATACATGAGTTAATTCATTGAAAGTAAATGAATATTCCCAATATTTGTGTATATATGCACAAGAAACTCATGCATCATAAGAGTGTGTCATACAATAGTGTCTTTAAACAACCTGTTAAACTAGATGGATATAACAGATGTATACAGAACATTCCGACCCAAAACAACAGAATATACATTTTTTTCAAGTGCACATGGAACATTCTCCAGGATAGATCACATGTTAGGCCACAAAACAGTCTCAATAAATTTAAGAAGGTTGAAATCATAGCATGTATCCTCTCCAACCCCAATGATATGAAACTAGAATTCAGTCACAAGAAAAAAAAAAAAAACTGGAAAAGGGGAACCTGGGTGGCTCAGTCAGTTAAGTGTCTGACTCGTGATTTCGGCTCAGGTCATTATCTCACTGTACATGGAGCTCCACATAGGGCTCTGTGCTGGCAGTGATTCTCTGTTTCTCTCTCCCCTCTTCCCCAACTCACACTTATGCTCTTTCTCTCCTCCATCTCTCTCAAAACAAATAAGCAAACATTGAAAGAAATAAAGAAAAAGGAAAGAAAAAAGCTGGAAAAAACACAAACACTTGGAGGCTAAGCAACAGCTTCTAGATTACCAATGGATCAACAGACAACAAAGTAGACATAAAAAATAGATGCATGGAGACAAATGAAAATGAAAATGCAACAGTCCAAAATCCATAGGACACAGCAAAACAGCTGTGTATATGTGTAGCTGTATATATGTAGCAATATAGGCCTACATCAAGAAATAGAAAACCGCTCAGATAATACAAATTTACATCTAAAGGAACTAGAAAAAGAAGAGCAAACAAAGCCCAAGGTGAGTAGAAGGCAGAAAATAAGGATCAGAACAGAAATAAATGACATAAAAACTAAAGAAAAATTTTAAAAAGATCAATGAAACCAAGAGCCGGTTCTTTGAAAAGATAAAATTAATGAAACATTAGCCAGACTCAAAAAGAAAAGAGAAAGGACCCAAATAAACACAAACAAAAACAAGTAAAAACTGACAACACTGAAATACAAAGGATTATAAGAGACTACTATGAAAAGTTATATGTCAACAAATAGACAACCAACGAGAAATGGATAAATTCCTAGGAGTATACAATCTTATAAAACCGAATCAAGAACTGAAAACTTGAATGTGTATTACTGGTAACAAAATTGAATTAGCAATCAAAAAACTACCAAAAAATAAAAGTAAAGGATGAGATAGGTTCATAGGAATAGAATTTAAATGGAATTTAAATGGAATTCTACCATTTAAAGAAGAGCTAATACTTATTCCCCACAAATTATTTCAAAAAATAAAAGAGGAAGGAAAGCTTTCTTTCAAAAACATTCTACAAAGCCACTATTACCCTGGCATCAAACCAGACAAAGACACCACAAAAAATGAAAACTGCAT